GAGCGATAAAAATGGAGGCGAACAATAATATCACTCGGAGGGCCCTCAGGCGTGCATCGTGAGAGCGCTCGGTGGATCCTGTCGAATTCCAGTCTCTCAATGGGAATATCGGTGGCCAATTCCTGGAATAGCGCAGTGACCGTCGAGAAGTCCAGAAGTTGCAAGTCCAGAACCGATTCAGGGACTCCTCTTATACGCAGATTCGATCTGCGGTCCCGGTTCTCCGAATCCTCCAGCTGTGTCAGGAGGGATAGGTTCAATGAACGCAGTCGCTCCAGGTCATCCTCATGTCCCTCCACTATTATAGTAATATCGTTGCAGCGGGATTCAATTGTGGTAGTGCGTCTGCCCACGTCCCGTATCTCTTTTATAAGTTTTGATGTAATTTGCTTGGATGCTTTATGGAGGGTAGATTCGAATTGTGCCGGCAGTGAATGAGTAACCTCAGGGTCCGCTTGGCTAGCCTGCGAGCTGTCCTCCAGGGGGTCTGCGGGTTCGCCAGAGGAACGGGAATCTTCGTTCCTCTGTGATGGCGCCGGCGCCATCTTGTGAGCCGCTCGGCCCAGAGCCTCGTGGAGCGTGGGCTGGCTCAGCTTGCCACCCCGACTCCTAGTACAGGACATGGTGGTATCGATCGGACGGCGGGGGGAGCCCGGATCCGAAGGCTCCCGTGGTTACCGTGAGTGAGACCTACGATAGCCTAAATAGGTCTTCACTTCTCCCGTTCTGGCGCGTAGCTGATCAGTGAGCGTCCATCTTGGTCAGCCTCGCGCATGCGCCCCAACCCTTTAATCCTTTTGTTAGGACAGGCGGTGTTCAAATCTACTTTACAAATGATAATGAACTCACCCTCACAACCCCTCCTAACATTACAAAGAAGGAGAAGCAAGTAGAACTTTTAACCCTTAAGAAGCCAAGAAATCCTAACACAAATAAAAACAATTTAAACTGAATTTGTAAAATATTTGTATAGCTTATGCTATATGAATGGGAATATAACTGTTGGGGTGTGTTCCTGATACTGAGTACAACTGAGGAAAGTACTTGGACGAGTAGCAAAATGTTTTCAACATTACAGAACAAGTCCAACTGAATGTGACATGCCATTGCTAGCTATCATTTTAGTCTATTTGTATCAAGTGAACCACAATGTTTTTCGGTTACTGTTACTTTCCTCCAACATCCTTTATACTTACAGGGTTATTCATAAAAGGGTGAAGAGTTTGGAGAAGGCATTGGAAGTGAACAATCTAGGACAGTGTTTTTCAACCTTTTTTGTGCAAAGGCACACTTTTTTCATGAAAAAAATCACGAGGCACACCACCATTAGAAAATGTTAAAATTTTTTACCTCTGTGCCTATATTGACTATATATAAAGTAATTCTCTTGAATAGGAATCAAATAAACACAAAGAAATTATTTTATAATTACTTTATTATGAAATAATAAAGTATTTTATAATTGTTCATATTTCTGTTCAATTCATGACTTAACTTCACACTTCACACAAATACGTTTTAAATTCAAACTGTAGCACTGACGTAGCCCTGGTTAAAGTAGGGTTCAGTGGGGTCTCACTAGTCTTGGTTAAACCCCACAGAGCCCTGGTGAGACCCTACCAAGCCCTGCTTTAACCAGGGCTCTGTAGGGTCTCACCAGAGCTATGTGGGGGTCTCACCAGCCTGGTTAGACCCCTCAGAGCCCTGGTGAGATCCCACACTGCCCTGGTTAAACCCGGACTCTGTAGGGTCTCACCAGCACCAGGGCTCCGTAGCGTCTCACCAGGGCTCTATGGGGTCCCACCATGGCTATGTGCAATTTCACCAGCCTGGTGAGACCCCTCAGAGCTCTGGTGAGACCCCACAGCCCTGGTTAAAGTAGGGTTCAGTGGGGTCTCACAGGGCTCTTTGGGGGTCTCACTTGGGCACTGTGGAGTCTCACCAGCCTGCTTAAACCCCACAGAGCCCTGGTGAGACCCTACCAAGCCCTGCTTTAACCAGGGCTCTGTAGGGTCTCACCAGAGCTATGTGGGGGTCTCACCAGCCTGGTTAGACCCCTCAGAGCCCTGGTGAGATCCCACACTGCCCTGGTTAAACCCGGGCTTTGTAGGGTCTCACCAGCACCAGGGCTCCGTAGGGTCTCACACGGGGCTCTATGGGGTCCCACCATGGCTATGTGCGATTTCACCAGCCTGGTGAGACCCCTCAGGGCCCTGGCAAGACCCCACAGAGCCCTGGCAAGATCCCACAGAGCCCTGGTCTCACCAGGGCTCCATGGGGTCTCACCATGGCTTTGTGGGGTCTCACCAGGGCTCATAGGGGGTCTCACCACACTCCGGGGGGAAACACCTTCACCCCCTTCTCTTTCCTAGGAAGCCGGTTTGGGGGGGGGGCTTTACATTTGGTTCTGCCCTCTGCGGTTAGAATGAGTCACACTTTAATGATCACACATATTGTTAACTCCTTCATGGCACACCCAGCGTTACCACACAACCCCAAAAGCCCCATGGCTTTGTGGGGTCTCACCAGGGTAGCAGATTTTGCCTTGTACACACATGCGATGACTCACCGGCCCAAGAGTGAGGAGGAGACTCAGCCCAAGTGATTCCGTCAGGTAACGAAGGGAAGGGGGAGGAGTCTATGTCCGTGACATCACCGGACTCCTCCCTCCTTCCCTTCGTTACCCATCACGGACAACTACATCACCCGACTCCTCCCCCCTTCCCTTCGTTCGCCGACAGAGTGACTCGGGGAAGGGGGGAGGAGTCCGGTGACGTCGATGTCCGTGACGTCACCGGATCTCCGACGGAAGACCCGGAAGCCGGCGGAGAGGTGAGTAACTTTGATCGATCAAAATAATTTTGATCGATCAAAGAAATTAACGATTAATCGACGGCACACCAGACAATATCTCACGTCACACTAGTGTGCCGCGGCACAGTGGTTGAAAAACGCTGATCTAGGACAACAAAGCTGATTGCGAAAAATTCTTCAATTCAGCTCACTTTCCAGTTCAGCTATGTTGTCCTAGATTGTTGACTTCTACTGCCTTCTCCAAACTCTTCACCCTTTTGTGAATAACCCTGTAAATGTACATTGTGTATACATTACTTTACACTGAAAATGTATTCAATGTGCTATAAAAAAATGCATTAACTGCTTCAGGACTGCCCACTGTCAAAAAACATCCTGGTCCTGAAGCAGTTATACCAAGAACATGGCTGCCATTCTCCGTCCCTTAGAGCCAGGAGAAGTAGCTGGTGAAGCAGATTGCTGCTTCATCAGCTTCTTTGGGGTCCCTAGGTGACATAAGGGGTCTGAATGACCCCTGATGTCCCCATAAAGAGGACCTTTCACATCATATTGTTAGCCTCCTATGTGATAGCAATAAAGTTAAGTGTAAAAAAAAAAGAAATGAAAAGTAACATATAAAAAAAGCAAAATATCATTTTTAAAGTCACCCATCCCCACAATCACGCACATACAAATGCAAACACGCGCCGGGTGCGCCTAAATGCAAAAAAAAAACGAAAAAGAAAATTGCGCCACACAGGTTACATATTGCCACGATTAACAGAGTGAGAGCAATCTTTGTAGGGCCATTAATCACTGTTAATGCTAAACTGATGAGCAGTAAAAGCTTTGCAAATGTCGCCTATGGGAAATTTTGGGTATTGTAGTTTTTAGCGGTAACAGGCGCACACAATTTTAAGGCTTGACATGCTTGGTATCTATTTACCCGACGTGACCCCGTCTTTTATATTTTACAAAGAAATTGGGTATTATATTCCGTTTCTGTGCACTAAGTTTAATTTTTGTATATTTTATCCTAAAAATACTGGTTCGATAAACATTTGCACAGATATCGTACACATAAAACAATTGCAACTAGCATTTTTTTTATTCTACAGGGCCACTGCTTTCAGAAAATATAAAATTGTTTGGGGATTTTAGTTACATAGTTACATAGTATTTGAGGTTGAATAAAGACATTAGTCCATCAAGTCCAACCTATTACCTATTAGGATCTCATTCTAGGAGTACCTGTACCCCTGTATATTACGGTCCCTTAAGAAATCGTCCAAACGTTTCTTGAACAATTCCACATTATTTGCTGAAATCACCGCCTGTGGCAGTGAGTTCCAGACCCTAACTGATCTTACTGTGAAGAACCCCCTTCGCCCCTTGCCCCTTGTGCTGGAATTTTTTTTCCACCAATTTTAGGTGGTGGCCTCTAGTTTTTGTAATGGAGTTAATTTTAAACAGTTTATCGCTAATGTTGCTACCAGCATTGAACATCTTGTACATGGAAATCATATCCCCCCTTAATCTCCTCACCTCTAATGTTTAAATTTAGTAGCCTTGTCTCGTAGCTCTGGTCCTCCATACCCCTAATTAGTTTGGTTGCCCTCCGCTGGACCAGCCATAGAGTTTCCACGTCTTCCCCATTAATTGACGTGATATCGTCCCTTATATGCACATTTAGATTATTTTTAACGTAAATGCAAACACCCCCCCCCCTCTTCTCCCACCTCTGTCCCTCCTGAACAGTTTATACCCCTCTATATTAGTAGCCCAGTCATGCGTGCTGTCCAGCCAGGTTTCCGCTATACCCACTATGTCGAAGTCCTCTTCAATTAACCTAATTTCGAGCTCCTCTATTTTATTTGCCAGACTTCTAGCGTTGGTGTACATACATTTAATTCCTCTCTTTTTGTGGGACAAAAGTTTACTACCTTGTTGTTCCCCACTATTTTTATTGTTATTATTCTGCCTTGATTTCGGTCGTCCGTTGGTAGTTATACTTACATGTGCCAAGGGATTTCCTATATTGACTGGTGTGAGCCCACTATTATTAACTCCTTTTTTACTACTTTCTGTGTTATTTTTATCTATGATTTTAAGCCGTTTTTTATCCAAAAATTCAGATTTTATCATGTCTATGCAAATAGTAAGAAATTGCTCTGGACAGCATGTGGTAATACTATTTTTTTTTGCAGTACTTAGGTGCTTAGGCATTCCAACAAGGGTCATCACCAACTTTAACTCTGCCCATGACAAGAATGCAAACCTCTTTCTAGATATGTTTTATGACAACCATGGAACAGCCAATGTGTCCCAGCAAGATGCGATATGGTAAGCAAATGTTAACATAAAACAGTAATGGCTAGTCCAAAAAATGTTTGGCCATAATGAAAAAATGGCCATATTCGGTCTGGACACTAAGGGTCTATTCCTATCATACTGCACGGTGGTAATACATGCATAACAAACGTTTTATTGTGCATTGAGATGCGCTGCAATACTATAGCCCCAGGGGTATCCCTGCAATTTCCGCGGACTCAGGGGGTGCTGGCAGTACACGTAACCTAGAGGTGGGGGTTTGTGCTGTTAGCGGCACACATTACGGGAGGTGTTGGTTCGGGATTGGTGTCCTGCCCAGCTGTGTATTGTCCTGCCCAGCTCACTGATGTCACTGGTTACCAGTTACTGATGTTACTGGCAGGATCTGCTTTTAAGAAACTTTGCATCAAATTAAACTGTATACAGAAAGGCATTATACAGTATAAAGTCAAAAATTGATTAAAATGTTTACATGCACTTCAAGTTCAGCGTTACATAATGTTCTCATACATCTCAATTTGCAGGAATTTCCATGTCTGGAATGAAGCCTGGTTCACCCGTAAGGATCTCGGCCCTGCCTATAATGGTTGGCAGGTTATGGACTCAACACCGATGGAGTTAAGTGAAGGTGAGAGGTTGTTTATATAAACCCATGTTTTCATCGTTTTTAGTTTTACTGCTCAATTATTTTAGTTGTATGGGAAATGTACTGTAAAAAGAGCTAATACATTTAAATGACAACATATTAACAAGAACATTTACCAATTAAAACAATTTAGATAAAATATATCAGGAGTAAATAGTTATTTAATAATAACGTAAATGAAAACATTAATGGATGATAGTGTGCTAAAGCACCGTGTATCATAAACAAGTGACATATTTTTCAAATAATAATACTTGTTTTGACTTTTTTTTTTACATTCATCATGTTTCTAAACAGCTGCTTCCAAGCCTTTCCAGTACAAGATCACAAAGGACAGAGCAGACTCCTGCAGCTAGCAAAGAAGATATTGCTTCCCGTGATATCTGCCATCATTTCAGGGGTGCTCTCTCCCCCCCCCCCCCCCCCCCCCCCAAAAACCCACCATCAGTGGGGGAGAAGGCACCTCCCTGAAGTGAGAAGGGCACCTCCCTGAAATTGCTTTTTTCAGGTTGGGATCCCTGTGAATGCATTTTTAGGATTTAACTCCTGAATTTAGTGTCACTTTAAAGAAATAAAAAAAGGTAATAGTAATAGAAAAAAATACATGCTTGGGAAGGGGGGGTGAAAGCAAACTTGCTAGGTGAAAGCAAACTTGTGACCAGAATGTAGCCCTCCTCCCTGCTTATTTCCTTTGTTGCTCAGATGCTCTATTTGGCATTGGGACCTGAAGTCAATGCCCCATGCTTCTGGGAATGGAGGAGTATGTGAGTCACTCCATGTGACAGCACTGGGCCAGTCATAGCCCTGTGCAATCTCTGACTCACAGTTTACATAAGACCTTCGGCGCTCCCAGTGGCTAAACAGAGCAGCAGAGGAGTAAAAGAAAGGTAGGATCTACTGCTGGTGAGCAGGGAATAAACGTTAACTTGTTGCTTTGCCGTGCGTGGGCAAAGCAAAGATTTACTTTAAAGGGTATTTATGGTCAAAAAATAACTTTGTATTTCTATATTGATTTTCAATAAGTTCGATCCCTCTCCTAATGACCATATCCATCTAGAAATGTGTATGCTTACATATTGAAGATGTCCATAGGATATACTTCCTCAATGCACTGACAGCCCTGAATATGCACTGTCAGCCCTGAATATGTACTTGCTTGTGTCACAGCTCTCACAGAGCCTGCCTTCTGAACTACAACTCAACATCTGGACACTGTAACATTATCATTGCTTGCTGAAAGCAATGCATGATGGGATATGTAGCCTTGAGAAATCAAGATTGCATCACATTAAGCAGCTGGGAAAGAGACGGAAAGCACACTAGGAATCCAGGAAGTTGTTGAAAGTATAAAGCTCTCAGATGATGTTGCAAACATTGGTGTCCTTACTTTACTTTTGATGCCTTGGTATTGTAGGATTATATCGCTGTGGCCCTGCACCACTGGTAGCCATCCGGCAAGGAGACGTTGACCTCAGATATGATGTTGGCTTTATGTTTGCTTCAGTTAATGCTGACCTAACACTCTGGATAACAAGTAGCGATGGCACTAAGAAGAGAGTCTCTAATGACACCAAATACATTGGCAAATATATCAGCACAAAAGCCGTGGGAAGTGATGATCGCGTGGATGTCACACACATGTACAAATACCCAGAAGGTAAGAGAGACCTGGCAAGTGCCAGTCTTTAAGGTATACAATAAAGCATATCTACATCCATAAACACAAATGTAATATATTGCAGCTTTCTAGATGTGGTGGCTGCGTTAGTTTTCTTTTTTCAGGGTTTTTTTCTTCTTTATTTTGTCTTGGTGATTCTGCCAATAACACACTTTCTGTCCTAATATGACAACACTAACTACTCTATCGGGGCAACAGAAACATGACAAGATTACTGGGAACTTCCCCTGTCCTCTTGTCTATAACATGGGGGGCAGAGTTATGTAGTCCTCAGAACAGTATAACTGATAACAGGGCAGCACATGCAGTAAGCACAGGAAGTTATATTCTGTCAAGGTTTCTGGTAGGATAAGCAGGTGTTTATAGCACAAATATAAAAAAACGATTTCAGTGGTATCCATAGCAGACCATAATGAAGCAAATAAGAGACGTTCATTGTTCAGGTTTACAGAGAGCCCAACTCCAGACACAATGTGAATGCATTCTAAGGCAAATTATCTCTTTAGAGTGCATTGGAATCGGAGCCAAAAACATTAGTCAGTGGAGGTATGTTGACTTGAATTTGCATAGTGCATTGACATCCGTTGCGTTTTTGGGGGTTTTCTTTGGTTTGATTTTTACACTATGCTATGTAAGATATTGGTTCTGCCTTGTGTTGAAATGCATTAGCAGTTCACACCAGTCCATTGCATTGTGTTGTGCTGAAAAAATTTAGAGGCTGCTCTACTTCTTCAGTGGAGGACAGCGCAACGCAATGCACTGGTACGAACTGCTCCCATTCACACCCATTCATTTTTAGATGTTCTTGCATTAGCCAACACACCTAGTGTGAATGGGGCCTTAGAATGAACTAAAGTGAATGTCCAGCCATTGGGGCTCGGTTCCCTTTTGCAGATTTTCCCTCACTTCCTGACTGGAGAAATGTTGTCACTAAGACCAGAAGTAAACGTAAATCCTTCTAATGGAATAAAACTTGACAAGGGCGCTCATACTTCCCTACTCTGTGCAAAATGGGACTCATACTTTAATATACAAACTACCAGTGTTGCTGCCCAGGAATCAGTATGAATGAAGCTCAAAAATGATGGTTAGCATTTGGGTCCTGCACATAATATACTGTATATAATATGCACAAACTGATTCTAAAATATCATAATATATTTACATACAGTACATAATACACAAGTAAAAAGTATAAATTGCTAATAAAGTATTAAAATGAATGGGGTACCCTACTGCAGTACATCACACCACACCGCACCCTGTGGTACCTCTGCAATGTCGCACCCAAAAGGTATGGACGAAGGCTTAAACACTATACAAGCAGGGTTCATTCATCAGGCAATGTGATGATTGGACCCAGCATAATGAAGGACCTTCATTGACTGATGAAGGGACCCTGTGTTATCTCTATGCTGTATATGGTCAGAAACATGGTCAGAAAGGTTAATGTTGCCTTTAAGAAATGAAAAAAGGATGATTTACCCAGAGTACCAAACCCTGACTTGATTAGCCCCTTCAATTTTGGGCGTATTAGTTTCTAGGTAACTCTAAGAGAAAGACAACCCCCAGCTGCTTAAACTGAACACAAGAAAAAAGAGCTGAGCCAATAGGTGAGCTGAGCCAATAGGAATCAACTCAAAGTGCAGCTGATCAAGAAGGGTCGGAGAGTCAATATTTAGTACAAATTTGTAAATTTATTTAGTGTTAAAAAAGATTTTTTGGACATACTCAATGCACCAGTAAAACTAACGTCTAAGACGTTTACTGGGTGTTAGTTTTACTGGTGCATTGAGTATGTCCAAAAAAATCTTTTTTAACACTAAATAAATTTACAAATTTGTACTAAATATTGACTCTCCGACCCTTCTTGATCAGCTGCACTTTGAGTTGATTCCTATTGGCTCAACTCACCTCTTTTTTCCAATGTAGCCTTTAAACCTTTACACTCAAAAAACAAATTCTATCAATGCATCCCTCTATGTATGATGATTAATAATAACATAGACATGTCAGGTGTAAAATGCTGAGATTTTGTGATCTGTGATCTGTGATCTGTAATCTCACGAGATCTCAGGGAAAGGCATTTTCCTCCCCTGAGATGATGTGCTTGGTCACATGTCCTTGTCACATGTCTAGTCACATGTGCCAGAAATCCAGGAAGTAAAAGGAGAGCTAGTAATATGCCCTTAGTAAACATGGCCACTGTCAGAAGACTGGGGAAGAAAAGAGAAATAAGGAATGCAAAGAATACAAATACGGCAATTATCTAGAAGTATGTGTTTGTAGATTGTCATTACTAAACATTTCTGAAGGTGTGTATGTTGCTATTTTAAAGAGTGAAGGTCCACTTTAAGTAATCTTTACCCCAGGTACTTGTATCTTTGAAAAAAAAAGGGTAGTTTTAACAATAAAAAATTTTCTTTTAAAGACATGCTGAGGCGTAATATCATTCTCCTTACAGGGTCCGTCGAGGAACGGGCGATAGTTGACAAGGCAGTTAACAAGTTGTTAGAAAGTCCTTTTATGGAGCTTGAGAAAAAAATGCTGCTTTTCAAAAGAAAAGCTGAACAGAAACCACAAGAAGGAACGGGACTCCATGGAGGATTTTCATTGCTACAGAGACCAACCCTTGGACAAGACATAGATATGATACTGAGCCTGAAAAACACAACTTCAACAAGTATCAAAGTGGTTATGAACATGACATCATCCAGCATTCTGTATACCGGGAAACTCAAGCATGAGATCTGGGCAGATGCAAAGGCTCTTCCTCTGACTCCTAATGAAGGTATGGACACAGCCAAGAGTACCAAATCATTATATAAGTGATGCTAAGGTTTTCAGGTGAAAGGCAGTTTGACCGCTCGCCGTCCGCCCATTGTGAAAAAACGGACAGACGGCAAATTCACATTGGTGGGTTGCCGTAAATAGACGGCTTTTTTTTTGTGCTCGCGCACGCCTCCCTAGCGCGCAAGGGCAGAATAAACCCGTCCATTATAAAAAGCCGTTACCGGCTGTTTCACATACAAGCGATCGGCGGCACTATAGCCAGCCAATCGCTTGTATGTGCTGCCGGCGTGTGCCCCCTCCTCTAGTGCCGCTGTCGCTGTCCCGCCGCCGCCCCCCCACTCTTGCACCCTCACCTTCAATCCCGGGATCTTCTGCCCCATCTGCAGGCCCGGGACCAGCTCAGGAGGGTGTCAGGAGGAAGTTGGGAGGGAGATCAGCATCTCTCTCTGTAGTGTGAATGCGGAAGTAATGTGTATTTATGCACATATAAACGTAAATACTTTTCAGATGCGTCAGCGCGCGAAAATGACAATTGCGCTACACATGTTACATATCTCTGCGAACATCAGGACTAAAGGCAATTATTTTATGGCCATCAATCATTGATAATACTAAACTGATCAGCGGCAAAAGCTTTTAAAGCGTCGCCTATGGCCAATTTTGGGTATTGTAGTTTTTTGAGGTTTCACGGGCGAGTGAAATTTTAAGGCTTGACATGTTTGGTGTCTTTTTACCGACGTGACTCCACCTTTTACATTTTACCAAAAAATGGGTTAATCATAAATGTTTTATAATTTAATATAGGGGAAACGTTTTTTTGTTTTTTTTAAATTCGGTAATTTTTCCTTACTATAGTAAAAAATAAAACCCCCAGTGGTGATTAAATACCACCAAAAGAAAGCTCTATCTGTCCCAAAAAATAGTATAAAATTAATTTCAGTAAAGCGTTGCATGACAGAATAAATGTCAGTCAAAGTACTGCAGCGCTGAATACTGAAAAATGGCCTGGACGGGAAGGGGGTTTAACACCTTGGACTTCAAGTGGTTAAAGTAAAAGAAGAAATCTGGGGGGAAAATGCTTAACCCTTGCAGCGGGGATGCTCTGCGATGCAAACCATTGTGGCCATGGCAATGTATACAGCACTGTTTGTGCAAAAGTTGACAGGGAGGGCGGTAAATCAACCACCTGGTTTTGTGGCCCATGTTAGCAAGGCCTTAAAGGAGAATTATGGGGTTAAGGCTTTTCCCCATAGTTCTCCTTAGGGTAACGGGAGACAAACCTGTCACATATCTGGACACTTAATACTGAGCACACAATGAAAAAATGAATTAACAGTGTAGAGCAAAAGCAGAAGTTGAGCTTGGTCCCACCCACCTCTGCTTCCCAAGCCTCTACTATTTGTCCTTTCATATTTTAAAATAATATAATAAATGCTTCCTGAGCTATTCTTTAGTTAGCCCTAACATATCGATTTCTAGCTATGCAATACCAACTCTGTGGAATCTGTGAAAAATTAACAAAATGTCTCTTTTCTTCATTGACCCTAGAAAAACTCATAGCCATCACCCTGACATATGCCCAATACGGGAAATATGTAAGCGAAGACAATGTGATTCGTATGATTGCTCTGTGTGAGGTTGAAGGGACAGAGGAACGAATTTTAATGGAAATGGATGTGATTTTTGCAAAGCTTTCAATAAGTGTCCAGGTAATACGATTGAACAGCTCTGCAGTGGAAACTTTTTCTATGTTAAACATTTATGTTAACCATGTTTTGATTTATGATGGAAGACATGACTGCTAGGAACACCACTGGATCTAGATTAGTATTTATCTCTCATTATTATTATTACAGGTATTTATATAACACCAAAAATTGTCGTGGTGCTTTACATACAGTCCCTTAAGGAGCTTACAATCTTAGGTCCTGATCTCACATGCATACATACAAGGGTCACTTTAAACAGGAGACAATTAACCTACCAGCATGTCTTTGGAGTGTGGGAGGAAACCGGAGTACCTGGGGGAAACCTAAAGCAAGCACATAGAGAACATGCAAACTCCTTGCAGATAGAGTCCTGACCGGAATATGAGTCAGGGACCCCCAGTGCTGCAAGGCAGAGGTGCTAACCACTACGCTACTGATCTGAATTCAATATTTTTTCAATAATTCATTCAGATCAAACAAATATATATTGCCTAGAAAAGTAATTATTTACTCATCCACCTAACCAACCACTCAGTTTCTGCAACCCTCTCTGCCAATCCCTCCACTCATTTCCAATCACCCAAAGGATAAAATTCAAAATATTGACAGCCACTTACAAAGCCATCCACAAATCTGCCCCCGGCTATATCTCAAACCTTGTCTCAATGTATCACCCTAACCGTCCCTTTTGCTCTTCCAAAGACCTCTTGCTTTCCAGCTCCCTCGTCAACTCCTCCCAAGCTCGCCTCCAGGACTTCTCTAGATTATCCCTCATCCTCTGGAACTCCTTACCACAACCTGTCTTTCTATCTCCCATTCTGCCTGTAGGTGATCCCTAAAGTCGCATCTCTTCAGGGAAGCCTACCCAACCTCAAACTAACCACTCAACCATCACGTTCTCAAACAATTCATCCCCACACAGCTACCTCCTCATGTAACACTTGCCCCTCCATTTTAGAGATTGTAAGCCCTCAGGGGCAGGGCCCTCCTTACCATCTTGTCTTGAATTGTATTGTAATTGTCATGTCTTCGTTATACTGTAAAGCGCTGCACAAACTGTTGGCACTATATAAATCCTGTAGAATAATAATAATGTAAATAATAATAATTTATTTTTTTCCCTAACACTCTATGCAATAAGGAAAACAATGATCAGTACCTTTTTGTGTTCCCTGTCTCCCCCACACTTACCTGTCAGCGCTCTCACCGCCACGGTCCCCGAAACAATCCTCCCATTCCCGCTTAGGTTATGGAGGCACTCGTGCAGGGGGTGGGGGGGGGAGGGGTATGAGCGCTAGAGGGACCCACTAGAAAATAAAGAATAGAAAGCTTTTTGAAGAAAAAAAAAAACAGGTGATTAAGAAGGCGGACCTCCTAGATAGAAAAAAATATATATAAATACAGCTTTAATATCACTTTAAATATAATTCATATTAAGCTTTAAATTGCACTTCAGATACAAGATTCCTAACAATGAAACCTTTCTTGGCAGGTAAAGGAGTTACTGGCATTTCTGTTAACTTAAATGTAATATCAACTAATACACTGAGGTCCCCTATTTATTTTATTTTCTGCCTGAAAACTTCCCTCTGCCTTAGCGGTGGCTTTAGAGAATGAAGTATTGGCGCAGAGCTGGGCCCCAATTTGACAAGTACTTCTCAGATCCAAAGCAAGGACAGCTCTCTGGTTGTCAGCAAGACCAATGGGGATCACCACAATACTGACTCTTAAAAATTGTCAAAAGATAATAGCATCATAGGCATTTTAGAAAGTCCAGTCTGCCGCAGTAAAAGTCACAGAGGTAGCCAAGGTGTTGTATAGTCCTGTGACTGTTACTGTGATAAATGAAAACTAACTGAACTTGCTGAAACATCTGTCACACTCTCATCTTTTGACCACTTTGACCATTAAAGTTAGCAGGGACTATGTCCTGCTCTTCATGTTTTGCCTTTGATATCAACCTCTCTTTCTGCAACACTATGAAATCCCTTCATAACATACCTATAGAACAACTTGTTGGCATACTTTAGGACAAGTTCCAGCCTTGCAGAGAGCAAATATGGAGGCTGCTGTAGTTAAACTCTCCTTTTGAAAATGCTGGTGTATGGCTGCCATTTTGCTCCAAAAGGTTGTGTACTCTCAGAAACACTGACTTTAAACATTGTATTGTGATTGTAATGTCTTCCTTATATTGTAAAGCACTGCGCAAACTGTTGGCGCTATATAAATACTATGTAATAATAATAATAATAATGTAGGCAGGACTTCTGACTTTATTTTTACTTTTTAATCTGCTGGGCTGGTTTTCTGCATAGCCTAGGGAGGCAAGGCTTCAAAGAGGCATCACAAAGGCATTGCACACCAAGTTACATCAATGACACTCTCCACACTACTACATTGCCTAATGTAGCAATCCAGATGATTCCTCATTACTGCTACTTTGTACATTCTTTTCATCTGCTATTAATCCGTACAGCTACAAGCAAACTTCTTGCACCTTCTCTTTAAGTTGATTGTTTTAAGTGTAATGATACCGAATGGGAAAAAAGGTCAGTTTCAGCAACCTTGGCCCCAAGCCACAACATGCCTTGTGTTGATATGACCTTGTCAGTGTCTAGATTTGTCCATGAGGCAGTAGTTTGGAAAGTATTAAAGAGTCAGCTAGGCAACCAGTATCCCCAGAAGGAGGCCAACAATGCTCCATATTTCTCTAACTTCAGGTTTGCCTTAATACTGTCTTTCTTTGCTTATTTTCTCTAGAAACTCCTTGTTTGTAAGGTGCTTGTAAGGATAGTTAGGAGAGAGTCCACTCCAGTGTAAGATACAATGTGTCTTATACGGTTATGAGATTAGACCTTGTTAGCAGCTAAATTTGTCCTCGCGGCAGTGGTATGAAAAGTATTGAGGCAGTCAGGAATTAGTATTTCCAGAAGGAAGATCCATATTTCTCTCACTACAGGTTTCCTTTAATACTGTCTTTTTTTAATGTTTTCTCCAGAAACTTCAAAGTGCTTGTAAGAACAGTCCACTCCAATATAAATATGCATGACAGGTGATGTAAATTCTGTGCGACTGAGCCCCAGCCTCACAAATGTAGGTTAGTTACTCTGATTGCTAAATTAGACAATTTTTTTTCTGACCAAAGAGCTTCAGTGCCCTGGTAGATCTGGAATCATGTAGGTGAAAGAATAAATGGTCAAATAGTGAGTCTTACATGGGCAGACACAGAATAAAATGCATATCCAATGATTAAATACAAGTGATGTTATAGTACCTCTTTGTTGGTTACTAATTGATAATATGTTGTTTTCAGGTTCCACAACATATTGTTATTAACATTGCAGTCAATGCAAATGTTACAATTACCAACACTTTAGCTGAAACAATGAACTCTTGCTCGGTGCTGCTTGAAGGAAGTGGACTTCTGAATGGAGTTCTGCAGGCAGAGTAAGTGATGTCACAAGCTGCAAGAAACTGTTAATTTTCTCAAAGTGAGGGAAGAGGAAAGCTTCCAAATTATTGTCGGGCGCATTATGCTGGTCTTTCACATTTAGGCACATCTTGGCAGAAGGTTATTGGACAGAACCAAATTTCTCAAGCAAAACTCAGTTGTATTGATAAGGGGACACCTTATATCCTGGAGGTTCTAAAGCCGGGTGTATGTGTGTTCACCAGAAACCGGACAAAATTTGCACAGTGGGTGCTGCTGCCGTACCCTTTCCAGCCAGCATCCCTCGATCGGCTGATCGAATTAGCCAGTTAGAAAATTCTCGGCCGTACAGCTAGCTTTATCCAGATACAGTGCAAACAGTGGGGGATTCGTCCATCAAGGCTCTTGAGTGTTGATGGAGGAATCTGTTATATTGTAACCATGCACTTTGCATATGTCACAGATTTGCTGATTCCGGCAGAGGTTTTTGTTAATGCTCTGTATTCCCAGTTTGTTTTAGCTCTCTAAGCAAAGGTTCCTGTGTCTTCTCTGCAAAGAAAAAAGGGGGGATTAACTCGTTAGAAGGTAACGAGTCAGTAGCGGTCAACTGAGGGATCCGGACAAGCAGCCAATATGCAAAAATTAAATTTTATTAGAAAAATTCATTGAGACAACATGCATTAAAGACAACACCTTCAAAACACCTCTCACCATTAAAAACTCTTTGGTTACAGACATACATAAATAATTGCGGATCGATCCTCGTGAATAATTAGCCTAAAAGGTTCACACTTCGAGTGAAGACTTCTTCACTGTTAAGCAGCATGCTAATATAATTTATATGAGGCTACAATGTCTCACTCGAAGTGAATGATATCTATCTCATGACGACTGATTCGAGCAGTCTCCTCCTTCTCCATATCTTATAACGTTTACAGGTGCATATTCAGGGTATGTTCCACAGGGAGCCCCTATGGAAGATGACAGACAGAAGCACTCAGCACCTTTCTTCTGTATCAGGGGTTTTTTAGGCTAATTATTCACGAGGATCGATCCGCAATTATTTATGTATGTCTGTAACCAAAGAGTTTTTAATGGTGAGAGGTGTTTTGAAGGTGTTGTCTTTAGTGCATGTTGTCTCAAAGAATTTTTCTAATAAAATTTAATTTTTGCATATTGGCTGCTTGTCCGGATCCCTCAGTTGACCGCTACTGACTCGTTACCTTCTAACGAGTTAATCCCCCCTTTTTTCTTTGCACATGATTGTCTGGTCACGGATCGGTCTAAACAAGCGAATATGCAAACCTGAATTAGGGCGTATAATTAGTCGGATCTCCAGGTAGGAACACCAACCCCCTTTTCTCCTATGTCTTCTCTGCCTTGTATTCTGCTAGGCCACATTTGAGCCCATTTAGGAAACTTGTGGTGCTATCTGACCACAAAGCTTATTAGTCTGGATTGTTAGAAGACTCCCCAGCGAGTATAGATCTCAACTATATAGGGCTTTTCTAGACTGTTACAATGCCTTGTGGTGCATTACTACACACCAAATAATGTGCAGTATTTTTAATCTGAATAGGCTACCAATGCACCGCAAAGCAGATTTAAAGTACATTAAAGGCCATATGAGAAGTAAATTAAACCATTTAAACAACAAGAAATTGCTATTTTTCCCGAGCTTTCCCCACACTGCACTGTGTGATCGAGGTGGAGTTGTTTTTTCATCTAGGCAGTGTAGTTCGATGGTTGATGTGATGACATCAGCACTGCTCTTTGCATCAAAATACTGTGAATGCAGGTTGTCGTTGTGATGCCCACTCAAGGAGCAGGTAATTTACACCCTGTATCCACAATATGTCCTTAGTTTCCTGGGTTGAATGACACTGGGCATCATTCAATCTGAAAGGCTGAGAACATCTTTTGGTAGAGAAGAGGTACTGTAGAGGACAGCATTGGAGAGGAGGTGAGTATTGTAGCCAGTGTTGTTTTTTGAGGAACCTTCTGAGAAAAAAGCCTGAAGTTGGGCTTTAAATAACAAGTACAGTTGGACTTATGGATCCATAATAATCCACCTAATTTCTATTTTCAGGCTGCCAGCTTTAAAACCTGGTGAAAAGGCCCAAGTCACTTTTTTACTCAGTCCTTCCAGGATCGGCAACAGAACATTGACAGTGACCCTCAATTCTGACAAGATAAAAAATGTCAAAAGGTCCTACCAGGTCTTCGTGGCTGGGGCTCGCTGATTCCATAGACCTAACTGACATTGTTTTACTTATTCACCACTGAAGGAAAATATTAATACAACAAGATGATTTACTGAAGTAATACTTATGGTGCTGTAGTAACCTTATTCTTGCCAACATTATGCCTAATATTAAAAAAAACTAGTCATGAGTGGGCTCTTGCAAAAATCTGAATATTTAGACTTAACAGCCCACCAGAAAAAAAACCTTGAATGGCACTGCATGGGTTAACTGTTTGTTAAATCTAGGGGTAGAGGAATAAGCTGTAATAGTTACCTTATTCCTTGCTCTGGCAGGCTTTCTCTACACTATGCAATAGCTATCCCCTGAAGCCTCTGACATCATCACATACAATGCAGGACCAGTAGTCCTTCATTGTATTTGAGGATGGTGAGAGCCTCGCAAATAAAAACTTGATGCGAACAACCAAAGAGAAAAATTGATCATGCAGTTAGGTGTGAATAATTATACTTTATTATAAATCGAAAGCCAATGTTTCGGGGGAAACAAGTACCCCATCTTCAGGGCTTTGACATGCAGTAGAAAGCCAAACTGGCCAGAGGAAATTGTTGCTGGTATAACTGCTTTAATTGCGTATCCAGGTTTCTACTAATAATGTTTTCTATAGAATCTATATGAATTGAAGAAAGGGGATTCTGTTGCCCCCAAATCCTGTTGGCCTTCAACTGATAATGAAAAACACGTATCTACACCTAAGCACCTCATCAATTCTTTTGTTTTGGTGCTCCTTTTCTTCTTCTTCTTCTGCTCAAAACTTCAACTTGAGTGTTATTGGTCAAAAGTCATCTGAGTCCTGTCCTAATACACTGGGGTTGATTTACTAACCTCACAAACACGCCACAAACACGCCATGCACAAACACGCCGATTGCGCGCGCGCGTATACGCTTGGCGCGGAAACGTATGCAGGTTATACAGATGCTTGATAAATACTACCAACGCGCGCACATGGCGCGTTAAAATGCCGAGGATTCCATAGGGATGTGCAACAACCAACAGCAAATGGAAGCCCAGTGGCTGAGCGGTTAGAGGACCTGCCACACAACACCTATTTCCCCGGTTCAAATCCTGCATCAATTGAGTAGAATTAATCCACATACAGCAATGCAAACATCCTGGCCAAAATCATAAAACTGATAAATCTACAGACACAAAAATATAACAACAACAGTACATATATGCCAATGACACAAATCGAAATGTGTACATCATTTCTATGCTGTTGTGAATGGCTTCCAAATGGTACATATGCACCTGCGAAAATCCTGCGCGCAAGTAGTCGTCTATGCGCGCATATATTCTCATATCGCGCGTGTATTGCGCTCATATCCAGGCATGTACATGCAGCTTGGTAAATGCATTTTTGCGGGTTAAAATGCGCACGCAGCCTGCGCGTGTGCGTGTTGGGCTTCGTAAATCAGCCCCACTGTCTCACAGCTTCTGAGTGCATATAATAGCATCAAATAACACAGATCTAAACCTGTCTACACTTGTTTTAACTACTGGGCTATTTAATACTGTTATGCACTCTTAGGAGCTGGGGAATGACGTGAGAGGCAGTTGGAAGGGCAACACTTGTGTGGCTGTGATCTCTGATCGCTAACATTAAAGCTGAGTTTTTTTAATTCCATCAAACTAATGCTAACTCATTGAGCAAATATTAATATTTTTTGAGTTAGCCAATACATGTAGAATATTATTTTATATTCAGATTCCTGTATTAGCCTAGTCATGATTGTTTTTCTCTAAAGAAGTAAAATCTAACTGTATCCTTCAGTTTCTGTAATCTTGAAATAGTTGTGTGCTCTTTTTATGGAATGTGCTCCTTTTCATAGAATGACCTTCTACCTCAATTGTACTGTAAGACAATTCTTAGGTTAAATAAGTAGAACTTCAAGGCTTCTACCGATTTTCCAAATCTCCAGTTCAAAGGATCAGCCTGATTATTTTAAACTGTGATGAATTAACATAGCTGTGCAAGTGCTGAAAAGTGCAGAAAACATGGTCTATTACTGGTCCCTGAGGACTTGTGTTGGGAAACATTGGTTAGGATTATTGTGATTGTTAATATACTACATATTTATGTAAATTAATAAAGTGTTTGCACCTTTTTGAGTGTAATGTGTTATTTCTCATGCTAGAAATTAAAGTGTATTTAAACCTAAAAATAGAAATATTACATATTGTCGCTAACCAGTCCTTTAATGTGGTGGTTGCATTCATTTTCTTTTTTTTAGGCTTTTGTTCCATTATTTTAATTGTGATCTGACCAGTAACACACTTCCTGTCTAAGGGTGGCTCCACTCTATGAGGGGCAATGGAGCCACCCTTGGTCACAAAGTGGACTGTAAGCAGAGGCCTGTTTAGCTTACAAAGCCTGGGAGATTGTGCCGCTTACAGAGCCCAGAGGATTGTGCAGCATTCAGAGCCTGGAGAGTCTGTGCAGCCTAGACTGTGAACTCCATAAAGGAATCCTGTTAAAGGGTATTATTCATTAGGTATTATGTATGCATGCGATGAACATAAGTGATAATTGATTTTCTATATATACATTTGTTCAGTATGGGAGTATACGCAATGAGATTAGAGTCTGTGGTTTAGGTTGTATTTGCTGCACATGTGTTACTGATCAATCACGACGGCAGAGATGGTTAGAACCTCAAGAAAGAACATTGAATTATGTATAAATATCGATACATGCAACAATATATGCTTTGTATGAATGCATTTTAACTTGTACGTAACACAAGGAAATAGGTGGGGGGCTTTTTCTATCCCTCTTACTCCTAATAGTAGTCTAAGTTTCAGATTACAGTTAAAGGAGAACTATGGGGTTAGGGCTTTTCCCCATAGTTCTCCGAAGGGTAACGGGAGGACACAAATTAGTGTCCTCCCATTACCCAAAGCTCAGAATACCGCGAGCTAAAGCTCGCGGTATAATGAGACGCCGCAGCTGAAATGGATCCCGACAATTATGTCTAGATCCACCTAGCTGCGTTAGTGACAGCTGGCTCTGCCTATCTAGAGGTAGAGCCAGCTGTACCCGCCCCCTCCCCCGTCGGACAGGGGAGGGGAAATCCAGTCACTCCCCTGTCATGGCTCACCTGCGGGGATAGATCGAGAAGTGAGCGAGCGCTGGTATGTGTTCGCTCACTTCCCGATCTACAGAGCCGACCTGTGACAGTATTATTGTCACAGGTCGGCTCAGATTATGAGGCTGAGTGAAAAGCACTCACCTCATAATTCTCCTTTAAAGGCTAGATGTCCCAGAGAAGGAGGGGGACTTGAACACAAAGGAGACACACATTCAGGAGCATGCACACAGACAGACACGAGGCACAGAGAAACTAACACTTTAAACTCTTGTTTAGACATATACATCACTTTTTATATTTTGTTTTATACAATTTCTCTTGTAATCATTTGAACCTTTGTAATTAAACACATTTTTGAGTTTTATGCAAGAAAGGAAGCAATTTTCCTCTTTGTAAACTTTTCACCCTGTGCAACAAGAATATGAACATGACATAAAAATATGATATTAAAAATCATATTCTACAAATCCAAAGATCCAGCTGATGCAATCTTGAGAAGGAAGCCCCATGTCTGGCGTGACTTCTTCTCTGTTCCTTGAATTCCTGAAAAAGTGTGAGTGGTGAGAGGCCTCTTGTATTGGTCCTGACTTGTGCTGCTGAATTCTTAGAAACCTTGCCACTTGTAGAGTCAACCCAGGACTTTTGAGGTATCCCCATGGATTATATGTACTTCTGAGAGAGAAGGAGCAATCCAAGGTTGTTTACAGGCCCCACCAACAGCTGACTGTGTATTTCGGGAGTCCTCCAAGTCTGCTGGCTACAGAGGTGTATCTACTATAAAATGCATCTATGGCATCCTGCCCAGCTCCCAGCCATCAGTGACATCACCCTTACATGAAAAAAAGTCAGCTGTCTCTATGGGTCCACAAACTTTCGCAGACCCACAGAGCAGCATCTCCCCTTCAAATGGCACCCAGGGCATGTACCATATGTCTATCCTATCTATCTATCTATCTATCTATCTATCTCTCTATCTCTCTATCTATCTATCTATCTATCTATCTATCTATGTTAAGAGTTCCATATGATCCACACTTACAGTTCACCACTTCTCCAATTCCACTGGCAATACATATAAGTCCCAACAATCCAGGAGTTTTATATCCAAAAGTCCCAGTGTACTGTTTATTACATTAGTGGTAATAGCAGCAGCAGTAGCACTAATAGAGCCATTCACAGCAGCAATTGTCCCTTTATAATCCAGAGAAGTACCCTAAATGCTGGCCCCTTTTAATGTTCAGGGCAGTCCAACACTAGTTGCTCCTTTGGGATCATGTGTTAGTTTTTACCTCCAGTTCTTACAATTGCAGCATTCTTCTCCTCAGCACATGTGTGGTCTCCCTTCCCTCTTCTAGAATAATAAAGTTTCCAGAGGCTTCACCTCTGGAAATGTTGCTGCTGGAATGCTGAAGATTCTTTCCATTTACAATCCCCTTTTTAACCTTTGGAGTCTGGGCAAAGATAGGCATAGCCCATCCGCATATCTCTGTGGTGGAACTTCACGATTAGCCAAGGGTGGTAAGTAACTTTCCTGCACCTCTGGGTGGAGCTCATTATTTCCAGACCTATTGGGTTCCATGTCATTGGTGCAAACAGGGTCAGGTTAGTTTGACTCAAGGGGCAGAGCCCACCATTCCTCTTCAGCAGGAATCATATTTCCAGTAGCTGCGTTTAACTTGCCTTGGACTTCCCAGGGTGTTGGGGCCTCATGTACACAGGGCTTTAGCAAATTATGGTGAACTTCCTTAGTTTGCCTTTGACTTTGTTCCAGCTGTATTTCAGACACTTGTACATGTGAATTAGGCTGGCAAACTACCATACATGGATTTTCCCACTTCCATTGGAGCTTGCTGCCTGCACATGCCATCCGATTCCATAACAGGACTCTGTTCTAAGGATGGTTTAATTGAGGGATATGCCA